GGACCCGGCGCCCCTCAGCGCGCCGCGGGGGTGATGTAAGCCCCGCCCCCCCTTTATTAACCCGCCCCTCCGCGCGCGCCCGTCTGGGCGCGCGTTCGTGACGAGTCTCACTTCCGGTGCGGCGCGGGGCTAGCCGCCGGAAGCGCCTCCATAGCGGTTGGCGGAGTGCGGCGGCGGTGGGAGTTCGCCGGCGCCATGGTGGAGGTGAGGGGCGGTCGGCTCCGCCGCGGGGCCCCTCGCGTCCTCCCTGCCTCGCCGTTGAGGCGTCCCGGGCGAGACTAGGGAGCGGTGCCGGGGCAGCGGGGTGGATTGGGCCCGTGAGGAAGCCGAGGCCGGGCGGTGGCGGGGGGGAGGCCGTGCGCGGACCACCGAGCGCCGCCCCGCGCCCCCCGCCCCCTTTCCCCTTGGTACGGAAGGGCTGCTGTGGGCATAGGCCATGGCGGTCCCTCCGGCTTCCCAGCCCCTGCCCGGTCCGCCCTGGGGGAGAGCGAGTTGCCCGCAGGAAGCGAGAGGGGTGTTTCTGGCCGGCCTGAGGGCTGTGGCCTCTGCTTCGCGGGGGCCGTGGTGCGGGTCCTTGGGCCCTGTGGGCCTGGGCAGGAGTCAGCAGCAGCCAGCGGTTTTGCTTTGCCAGATTTAGGCCGGATGTGGAATTGGTGCTAGGGTCTGGGGAAGTGATGCTGTGATGCCCAATCTCCAGTGACTTACTGTCTTTGTCAGCTAGTCAAGAAAGTGGTAGATTTTCTGTGAGAGCTTGGAAGTAAAGCTGGGGAGAAGGTCGCTGGTTTTATAGGCCGTGGAGTAGTTACTGTGGGGTGAATATCGTGTGTTTCCAAAAGCGAGTATCATTGTCAGGAGTATATGAGAAGGTGCAAAGACTGCTGCCCTATGCAACACTGTTAGCTGCTTTTTACAGAAGAGTGTCTGTCAAAAAAATATTTGTAGATGCTTCTTTTCTGTTGGGGAGGCATTGTGTTACCTATTACTCATGTGATGATTTCAACAGCTGCTGTTGTTGAATAGTAATTAGCTGCTGTAATTCTTATCTCTTTCTTCAGATGTATGAAATTCCTAACCCAATTCCAAATGTTGCAGGTTTTTTTCACTTAATACGTGGAGCTTGCAGCAACTCACTGAGCAAGAGCAAAAACCTTTGTGTAGGTGCTACCGAGTTGGGAGGGTAAGAGCCACTGCAGAGTGGGTCAGTGAGTGGACAAACAACTTCCAGAGCAGGAAAACAGAACCTACAGAGAGCTTAATAGGGAAGGCACCTGTGTAATGAATCTTGAAGGCTGGGCAGTTGATGATATCCAATGCCAAAAGTTAGTAATGTTGCTTCCAGTTTGTTGCCATTGTTTGCGTGACATACAGAACATACAGTCATGCAGAGAGCTTTGGCTTTGTACCTAAGCAAGGAGGCTCAGATTTCCAACAATTTTTTTTGTCCATTGGGAAGAAAATATTAATTAAAAAATGAATTGTACTGTTGGTAAGCAAATATTCTGTATAAGTTAATAGCTTTTAAATTTTGCTTGTTAGTTCCTGAATGGGATTTTAAGAATGTTTTGCTCATAGTAACAAACAAAAATTATAAAAGGAAAACAAATTTTGTTAGGTTTGATCCCAGGTTTTCTCTCAGTAAACTGTGCTGTGCTTAGGTAAAGTGGCACTGTGCACGGAAGCTGATGGTTGCCCTTGTTCTTTTTATGGTGTCATTGAAATAAAATTTACAGGAGTGTTTTCGGAATTGGTTACTTTATTGCCTACATATAAAAACAGAACTGGAAGGGCTGAGGGGAAAAAGCTTGCACACTCATGCTTTTGTCATGTAGATGCTGGTGCAAAAAGTTTGATCATGGTTTTTGTCTTGCTTTTCAATGTCTCGGCAGTTTCCAAGAAAGGGAGTGTTATTTTGAGTAAACACTGAGTTAAAGCAATTAACAGATAAACTCAGGAGTGGTGTTTTCTCTGAACTAAGTGGTGCTACGTCATCTAACAGTACTGAAGTCTGAAATTGCTACTTGGGTCAATTTATGTTTCAGTTTTCAATTTTTTATTTAATTATGTCCAAATGTACTTTAATGTTCTTTTACTTATTTTAGGAAGTCCAGAAGCATTCTGTGCACACACTTGTGTTCAGATCCTTGAAGAGAACCCATGATATGTTTGTAGCTGATAACGCCAAGCCTATCCCGTTAGATGAAGAAAGGTAAGTACTGCGCTCAGTGAAGTTTTAAACTACATTAGTGATTATTCCATCCAAGTCAGAAGTTCAGATGTTTCTATAGAGTCAACAGTGTAGTCTTGACGGAAGAAGAATATTAGAATTGTAAAGTAAGTTGTATAAAACCTTCTCTAAAATATTTCAAAACTTAATAACAGTTCAAAAATCGGGGTTTAATCAGGATTATGCTTCACTCTTCCAACAGTCACAAAGTAAAGATGGCAGTTAAGCTGCGTACAGAGTATGGCTCAGTGTTACACATGCCTACTCTTAAAGAAAACTTGAGAGAGAAAGGAGGCCCGAACACCGGGGATCCTTATGGACACAAACAGTATTCTGGAAATCAAGGTTAGTTTGCTCTTAGTGGTATATTTGTCCTTTCTTTTGTAACAGTCTCACTGATGTAAAATCTGAAGAATGCAGTCCAATGTTAATCCATCAGAGATAAATATGGAAATCAAGATACATGGGTTTTTTTGATTGGTATTTTTCTTGCTAGGGTCCACAGGAGGCAAGTGATTCAGAACAAGGAGGAGGTTTGTTTTAACAAAGGAGTAATAGGGTGCTGTGAAATCTCTACAGTAATTCATTAGTAAAAAGAGTAATTTTTACAGTAACATTAGTTTGTGCTGTACTTATGTATTAGAGAAAGATGAGTAATGTATTTCTCCTTTTTACAAGTTCATGATGGTCAAGGACATGCTTTTTTGTTGTTTTGGTGTTTTTTTTATTTTGTTTCATAGATATTTTTTTTCGGACTTCCTTTAGCTGTGGAACTATTAAACCAGATAACTCTTTATTTTAAATCTGCAGGTTTTTTCAATCTATGTTTTGTTATATATAAAACCTGTATGTATTAGGTAGATACCACATGAAAACTTCTCTTCTAAAGAGTGCCAAATACCACCTTATTTTAGTTGAGATTTTTTTTTTCCCCAAGGTACTTTATTTGGAAGTATTCTGAAAGTGAAAGACATTGAGAGATAATGAAAAATCTTTTAAGAAGAAAACAACCTCTTTCTTTTCTGATACCACAGACAATCAGTTGTCTTGACTAGCTTACATTTCAGACACCCATGCTATTTGTGTACTTGAATCCTTTTCCATGATACCTACTTCAAAAGGCATCTTTGACAGTATGAAGATTTTTCTCTTGAGAGTCCTTCTTGATAACAGGTAGCCTCACCATTTCAAAAATGTTTTTTTACTATTGAGTGTTATAAAACTGAGATAACCAGAATAAATGAAATTAATGAGAATAAGGAACGTCTAAGTGTAGTACGTTAGAAGTGGTTGCTGGTTTCTTCTATGTATGACCTGCTCTGTTTTACTCTATTCCTGTTTGAGTGCATCATGTGCAGTGCAGTACGAAATGTAGTTATTAATACGATGTTTTGTTGTTCTTTAGGACAAGAACTTGAGTATTTGATAACTGGTACACATCCATACCCACCTGGGCCTGGTAAGTAAAATTCTGTGAGCGTTTGCGTGCAGTTTTTGGTGTCCTGTAAGAACAAGGCATCCTCCATCCTAGCAGGAGGAGCAGACTTCTTCTTGCTGTGAATCCATACCTAAAAGTAGTGGGAAATGCCATTCAAGTCTTCCATAGTATTGATGCATAGAGTTTTGTGGCTGATAAATGTTTTGGGATAGGAGGTAGGAGGATTTAGGTACAGATGCAGTGGCTTTTCACTAAGCCTCTGTGGATGTGAGCTTGCTGTGAGACGGTCATGCATTTCTATGAGATTTCACCTCCCATGGTAACTTCATCATAAAGATGTTCTAGGAATCGCCTCTCTGATATTGTGGTCCCCTTTCTCTTGGAGAGCTTGCTGAGACCCACAGACCTCTGGTGCCTCCACTGTTGTGGCAGAGCTGCTCTTAGAATTTTGTTGTGAACAAGGAGGGGGGTGTCCGTCTGGAAGGACTTTGAATGACAAGAGGGAGTGTGTCCTGCTTGTCATCATCAGAGCAGAAAGGTGTAGGTATCACTGCCTTGCTCTGAGAAGGAGACATTAGGGTCTAATTTTAGTGTCATTTGGTTTTGTCTGTGCTTGGAAAGGTTATGTTTCTGTGTTGTTACATTGGCTATTGCTAATTGTCACTGTTACTGATCAATCCTGCTCTGTCCTTGTGGCGGTTTAGTTTTAGCTGTTGATCTTTTACTGTTAGTGCTTAAGTTTATTACAAGTATGGTGGAAAATCTGTTGTGGCTTGATTTGTAAGTTAAGAAACGTGAGTGTTCAATAGACCCTCAGCCATTAAAGAAATGTGCATAGTTCCCTGTAACTGCAGTGTCAAGAATTGCTCATAGAGGTTTCTTCAAGTTCAGTGTTCTTTTTATAGAATCAGATATGTTGGGGTTAAAAATTAGGTTTCTTTCTCTGTTGTTTCTTGTTTTAACTTGGGCATCTCACCCAAATATTGTTTTTGTTGTCAACTGCCAGAACTTTGGTTAGGAAAAGAAATAGAGAAATGGGATAAATTCACCAGTGTGCACCAAAACTACACTTTGCAAAGAGTTCTTAAATTAAAAAAAAAAAAAAAAAAGCTATCTGTTCCTAGGATGGGGTTATAAATCATAAGTTGTAGTCTGAAATTCTCACTTCAGCACGACTAAGCCTTTTGTAGTTCTGGCACCACTGCATGATGCCAGCCACTGTGTAGAGATTTCCATAGTAGTTGAAGCTAGATAAAAAGATGGATGCTGCTCCTAGTTAGACTTTTTTGTTTCAAATGACAGAATAATCCTGGTTTTTACTGTAGAAATTTTGTACCTACGTATGTAGTAGAATCAGGATAGAAAGGATTTGGGCCAAAATAAAAATTTCAGTAGATTTGACTTGCATGTGAGAAATGATGTCATTGAATGCTGGGATTTAATATTACGGGGTGTGACAAGCCCTTGTTTGCAGGTGTACGTGTGTGTGTATGTATATACGTTTGTATGATATACTTTTCTGGATTTTCTTTTTAATAGAGTTGTCTTTGCTTTTACTGTGTTGTGGTTGTTTTTTTTCTTTCAAGGTGTGGCTCTGACAGCAGATACTAAGGTCCAGAGGATGCCTAGTGAATCTGCAGCACAGTCCTTAGCCGTAGCACTTCCTGCTTCTCAGTCCAGGTACTGCTGTGTTACTTCATTAACACTTTTGTTATCTATGGGAATTTCAAGGCAAAACACAGAAGTCAGGATGAGAGCTACTTTGAGTATTTTGAATGTTCTAATTTATAAAATGTTTAAAGAAACTACTTTTAGTGTGGCCAGGCATCATTTTTCTGTATGCTGTTGTTTTTTTTTTTTTTCTTGGATGTCACGAGAGGCAATGAGCAGAAGTTGGAACAGGGGAAATTCTGTTTAGATAGAAGAGAAAAAAGTGAGGCTTTGTGCGTGTCTCTTACCTTAAGGTGGTCAGGCACTGGAACAGGTTGCCCAGAGAGGTTGTGGAGGTGTACAACACTTGACTGGATGCAGCCCTGTGATACCTTATCACTTAGTAAAAGAAAGTTGATTCCAATTCATCGACCATTTTCATTCAACCTAGGTTGGATGCAAATCGGACAGCTGCTGGTGTGGGTGATATTTACAGGCATGCTGGAATATCTGAGCGTTCGCAGCCTCCTGGGATGTCTGTGGTGAGTTTGTTGCACATCTAATGTAGAAAGTACTTAGTGTTCACCAGATTGCTTCTGGATTCATTTGTCTGTTGTGTGGAGATCTCCTGACTGACTAAATTTAATCAGTGTTGAGACATCAGAGCAAGAAGGCTTTAGTTTTTAAGGAGAGGTAAGTTATAAAGCATAAGAGTAACCTTCCTTTTAACTTACAGGCTATGGTGGAAGCTGGTGGAAACAAAAATTCTGCATTAATGGCAAAGAAGGCTCCAACCATGCCCAAACCTCAGTGGCATCCACCTTGGAAACTGTACAGAGTAAGTTACAGATGTGTGACATGAACATGCATATAAAAGTAAATGAATGTTTTATGTTCTATAAAGACCTCAAAGCATAATTTTTCTTCTCATTCATAAAAATGAAATCAAATGAAAAGTGATCACAACTAAGTTGTTTATGCACACTCTCTTCTTAAATAACAAAGAGGTTAGATTACAAATATTTTTCATTCTATTTAGCAAATTATTTTGTGAATATTATTAATTTTACTGTTTTGTTTACATATGTGTAGCTGTATTATGATAAATTCGTTACAGAGTTTGTTTTTTCTTTTCTAGTCAGCTTCTTTGGTAGAGGAACTCAAAGACAAGGTGCAAAATTTGAAACTAATGTTAAAGAAATACTCTAGCAGTGTTAACGTAATGAAATTGTCTCCAAAAGCACTTAAAGGCAGTCAATGGCTGAGTCAACCAGACTTCTTTTACTTGCTATGAAAATGGGGGGAAAAAAGCTGAATACTTCAATCACAAATTATCTCTGCAGTTTAGATTGACTTGACTAGTCAGTCAAGGCTTGACTTCTAGTCTTGTTTTTGAATTAATCTAATTTACCTTTTAATTTTCTTAGGGAGTAATAGCGGCCATTGCCCCAAAATCTCATAGCATCTTTAAACGTTTTGGTGATGAGTATGGCAGGGTAGCTGAGTTGAAGGAGAAATCTCTAAGTATATGTATTGGTTCAGATCTTTTTAACTTTTCAGGTGTATCTGTTTGAACATGTACTTTTTTTTTTTCTAAAAGAGCTGATTCTTACTATGAAATTTAAGCAATTTCATATTTTGTCTGAGAAAGGATGAATATTATTTTAGGAATGTTAGGCTTTCCTGACATTTAAAAATCTCATGCTCTAGTGTCAGAATTGTATTGTTTTAGCGCTGTTCATCTAAATATAGCACCATTTATAGGCATTTAAATCTTCAGAAGGAGATGTATTAGTCATAAATCTTAAGGCTAATCTCAAAGTAATTTTTTGAAAAACACTTGAGGTCAAAGGATTATATAGGTTTTCTAAATACAGAGTATTGGAATGTGCTCTCTATAAAAATTAAGGCGAATGCCATTTGAAAAAAATGGCACCAAAATAAACCCATCAGAGATTGAAGGTAAACAAATGAAAATTGCCTACTTGTTAGGAGCACTTTCTTTTTAGAGAGAGACTGTAAATACAATTCAAGTCACTGTACTAACTTTATGTGTAAACAGTTTTAGTGGAGATTTGCTATCAAAATCCTTACTCAACAGGACAAAAGCTTGTTCAAGCAACTCAGAAATAGGAGCATAGCTGGAACACCAAACGTGGGTTTCATCTTATCTGTTACTTAAGATCTACACTTTAACTGGTCTTCCTAAGCTTGGTTTAAAGCCATTTGTGAAAGATGGGGACTTAAAATAGGTCAGATTAATTATTTCTTAGATTTCTCCCATGGAAATGCCTGTTTCTATTCCTAGACTATAAAGAAATCTAGACAGCTATCTCAAATGTATGCAGCTGTGGTCTCATCTGGTGAGAAGAATCCACTTTAGCTTTCCAAAGTATTTCTGCCTTATTTCTGCCTAAGAACTTTTGCTGTGTTTTAGATCTTTTGAAGTGAGCTGTATGACGGTACATGAAATATGCCATCCAGTGAAACCAAATATGGGTTTTGATTTTAGTTGTCTGACTTCAGAGAAATTAGAGAAACAGAAAGGCTGCTGTAAGCAAGCCGTGTATTGGTGGAGCTTTTCTTGTGAGATCTGTCCCCAGTATTTTGTTACCAGAAAGTTTCTGACACACTCATATTACCCCTTATTTGGGGAAAAGGAGGTGGTGGTGTGCTTTAAGAGCTTATTATATGGCAATGTGATTTAACAGTTAAGATTTTATATAATTATTCTTTATTTTTGTATAAGCAATATATAGCAGCATGAGGAACTTGTGCTTAAATACAGTCTTTCTCTGCAAAGTCTCAGGTGTTGAGCCACAGTATTATGGAGTCTCAAAGGATTTGAAAAAGTTGCTTATAGGAACAGGGTATTTCTGTATTGCAAGTTCCCAAGTCTGCTGTATGACATGTACATTTCTAGTAGTCTCTTCATTTAACTACAGTAGAAATGAAGCTCTCTTCAGCTCTAACTCTGCATTTGACTTTTGGGGGACCGTGTGTTTCTTGGTGAACACTAACAAATTCCAGTGTTGGAGAATGAAAATTATATTGACAGATATATGTGTATTATTTCTGATTTAGAAAAAATTTTGTTTTTTCTAAAGGTTATCAGTGGTCACCTAGGCTGGGTGAGATGTATTGCAGTAGAACCAGGAAATCAGTGGTTTGTTACTGGCTCTGCTGACAGAACCATAAAGGTAACAAGTTCAAGAAGTCACTGACAAAGTTTGTGGGGGGTGGTTTTTTTGTTCTCTTGTTACTTAAAAATGTCTTCAGCCCTTGGAAGCAATTTCTTGCTTACTGCTTGCAGAGTAATGAACTGTAGAACATTTTTATTACCTAGTCATAAAGGATTTGTGGAGTATTACTCCTTGAGATTTCATTTATTACATAGTAGTAGCTGGAGAGCAAATGTTTATTGTAATTTTTAACTTAAAATGCAACAGTATCAGTTACATCTGGGCTGTTTACCCAGACTATCACTATGTAGCTTTTACCTCTCTACCTCAAAATACCTATTTTGATGCAGATTTGGGACCTTGCTAGTGGCAAATTGAAATTGTCTTTGACGGGACACATCAGTACTGTACGAGGGGTGATAGTAAGTGCAAGAAGTCCATACCTATTTTCTTGTGGAGAAGACAAACAAGTGAAATGCTGGGATCTTGAATACAATAAGGTAAGCTGTAGTGTCTTCAGTTGGAATTAATTGGTGGTGGCAAATATAAAAATCAAAGCATTTAGAATATTCTTTCAAATATTCAGTTATTGTGTGTGCGGTTTTTTTATTCATCTAGGTTATCAGACATTACCATGGTCATCTAAGTGCTGTCTATGGTTTAGACTTGCATCCAACAATAGATGTACTGGTAACATGTAGCAGAGATTCAACAGCAAGAGTAAGTATAGCATTGTTATGTTTTAACATCTTGATATGTCAATGTGTTTCAACATCTTCTATTTGTAAAAGTGAATACTTACCAAAAGTTACCATGAATCAAGATGAAAATAGTAAGATGGTTTATGTTAATTTTGTCTTCCATTGTTGATAAAAACTGAAGCCCGAATATGCAAAAATGCAGTGTCACTTCAGGAGAATGTTTTATTTCTTAACTTAGTAGGTAGACTACATAGTATATAGGATCAGTTTGCTATATTTAGAAGATGGTATGGTTTTATGGTGACTTTAACTTATCTGTATGTCTGGAAATTCAGTGGCAAGCTCTGTGCTCCCCTTGAAATTTGCCAGCTGATGCCGTTGTGTGATTAATTGTTGGATGAAAAAAACCTAAATACCATTGTTTAATCTGTAGAACTGTGGCAAGGAATTCATGTAATCAGTGACAGTGCCTAAAATATGTTTAATATGCACCTGTTATTGACCTCTGTGACTGACTTACTGTGAATTCATAGATTTGGGATGTGAGGACGAAAGCCAGCGTGCACACACTATCGGGGCACACAAATGCGGTAGCGACAGTGAAGTGCCAAGCTGCAGAACCACAAATTATTACAGGTATAGTGGGCATGGTTTCACAAGTAATATGATTGTAAAACATAATCATGAATGTATTTGTTCAGTAATTATGTGAGGTCCATAATGTTATCTTTGTTAATTTATTCAATTTCCCTTATTAGTTTTCTCTTGAAAATGGGCCATGCAGTGGTTATTTCATGCTATTAATGGTATGTTTAAGCAAATATAGCTGTGCATTGTTTGAAAGTTTTTCTGCACTTCCTTTGTTTCTGGTGTTTACGTTTTTTGTTGTAATATGTACTGAGACTTGCATTTTCTGTGATATTCCACAGTTCTCCCCAATTCAGTTAAGAAGTGTCCAGTACCATGGCTAAATATGAAGTTTATTTTCTTTCCTGTTATGTCAAAATCTAGCCTTGTTGTGTAACTACTTAGGTTTCCTTGAATTTCAAACTGCATGGGACTATTACAATCCAGCATCTTTCTTGTCTGAGGTGGCATTAGTATCATATTTTTGTAACAAACATTAACAATATTTTTGTCTCTTTCAGATACAAAAGTTTTGGCTGCCATGTCAAAATGGTAATGATAATAGAAACCATCATGCTGATTCTATCATTTTTTATTTTCTTTTCATTGCAGGCAGTCATGATACTACCATACGGCTCTGGGATTTGGTGGCAGGAAAAACTCGTGTTACTTTGACAAATCACAAGAAATCTGTAAGAGCAGTAGTGCTACATCCAAGACAGTACGTTTCCCTCATTCTTTTACACTTTCACAGTTCACAACATTGTGTGGTGACAGCCAATGTGAGTGATAATTTTAAATGGTAGGGCAAAATAATATGAAAAACTAAGGAGCTTAGAATGCTGTAAAAATGTACATATCACTTCTCAAATACCTTTACTACACTGATTGTGCTCCCCAAGTATTGGCACTGGTGTACATTAGCAATCCTGAGAATGTCTTATATCCCACAGAATTTCTTATGTATGTGCCTGTGATGCAGTCCTTGAGAAACCAGAGATGCTGGGCTTGTAAGGCTAATAATAAATATGTAACTGAATGATTGTTAGCAGAAAGTGAAGTAATGTTGTAAAGTGGCACATCTGAATAATGCTAAAGGAGGCAGTGATTAATACAAAAGGATTGTTTTGAATATGTGTTTCACTGCACAAGACACTTCAATCTAACTGACCTCAAAAAGAAACTTCTTGTGAGTATTTAATCTTTGAAGCAGGTGTTGTTGGAAGTACTCTGAACTTAGATACTATATTTTGATATATCAACAGTTGCCTGTTCAGATAAATCCCCATTAAAACAATGGAGAAAAGGAATTCACATAGAACTGCAGTACTTCTGCACATTCTATATCTTAAGATGAAATTCTGTCAGTGCAGAAGCTCAGAATCTTTATGAATCAGTTCAGATCCAATCTGTGTGTCTGAAAAATTATAAAAAACTCATGCTATCCCTGTTAGCTATAGCAGAAAAAAAACCTATTTTTCTTATATTCTGCCAAAAAAAAAAAAAAATCTGGCTTCAGATTCATCAATCATACCTCTGAAAAAAACTTGAAGTGTTTTTATCAAGCAGTAGCAACTGTCAGCCTAGTATTTTTTGTTTCAGTATTTCTGTAGTTTTTAATATTTCAGTATTTTTTTCCTAATAATCTATTTTGTTATTGAAGAATCTGTTAAGTAGACAGCAAATCGCTTAGATGTTGTGGCAACTGAAAATATTCCTACAGGCTTTTGTATGTGCTACCCAAATAACCTTGTTAACTGCTTCCATGTGTTAAAATGAGGGAATTGATTATTTTATGGTAACTTAGTAAAACAAATGATCTTTCATAGTTCACTTTTTTGCAGTGCTTTATCCTTGGTTGTGTAGTTTTAGAGGACTAGCCAATACTGGTTTTGTGCTTTGTTTCTTTTCCTGATACCTGTGCTGATGATGCCCTTAAACATGAAAATTTGCCAGAATACAACTGACGATAACTTAATGTGCATTTTTAATGTTTATTTGCATATTAACTTCCTATATGGTGTAGGATTTATAAAGTTTAGGTAGTCTATGGAGCAGGAAGGAAACGGGTAGTTCACGGCTTCATAGAGTTGCTTCATTTTATGCAAAGTAAAAATGTCAGAAAAGCGGTTTTAGTATAAGTAACTTTGACACTACTGTTAAATGCTAGTTGCAGTGTAGGATGTATGCTATCCCTACAGCTGTTTTGAACTTTAATATACTGTCCTTATTTTCTTTCAGTTACACATTTGCATCTGGTTCTCCAGATAATATTAAGCAGTGGAAATTCCCAGATGGAAATTTCATTCAAAACCTCTCTGGTCACAATGCTATTATCAACACGCTGGCTGTAAATTCCGATGGTGTTCTGGTCTCAGGAGGTAAAATGAGAAATACATGTTCATATTTCCCTTTTCCGCTCCCCTATGTATACATGGCTGGAAGTCCTTAAAGATGCCTGCTGAGCTCTCCTTTATCTGGGCCTGTAAGCTTGCTACGGCATACAACTTCATTTCATAGTGAGTAGGGCTGCTTATATCTTCTTGGATGTTACTGAGCTGCATGCACAAAAATGTGTTTGAAAGGACTTCTAATGTGGTGCAGGGAAGAGGTTTCCTCTTTTCAGTTGGCTACTGCTGCAAGGCTCCCGAGTCCATCTGCTATGATCTGAGTCTGAATTGTTAGTGTCCCCTTGGGAGCGGTGAGGAAATTGGAAGCTGCCTTGGAGACTTCTGGCTCGCTGTTAGCTGCTCTCTGTTAGTAACATGTTGATGCAGTGAGAATGGATAGAGGATATAGAAACATCTTGCTAAAGCTTGCTGTACCCTTTAAATGTGATCTCTGCCCTGGTTTTTATGCAGCTCAAATGCATTGGTTCTGTTGTCTCGAAGTTTCTTGCATGCATTTTCTGATGTTATCTTTGTATCGCTTAAAAGATTGATAGCTAATCTCCTAATTTTATTTGGCCCTATGAATCAAAACCATGTTTACTCAGCAATACTGTACGCTCAAGTGTTCTGGAATTAAGAAACTAGCCACTTGGCTCCAGTGTGCCTACATATATTCAGGGAGGATTTTGTGTCCTTTGTGACGCATCGATTTAATTTTTTCACTTAAAAGCTTCATGAATTTAATAATCATCTGATACATTAAAGTATTGTTAGTGGTCTGTGAGCCCCCAGATTCTGGGGACTACTAGTTTGTGTTCATGTATCTGAGTTGTACTGAATGCTTACTGCATCTGATCGTGAATAATTTTATGTAAGAACAGTTATTATCTCATACTGCAGGTTGCCTTTTTCTATATATCAGTTAAGAAATATTTTGGTGGGAGTATGTGTTACTACATAATCTATGATGTTTCTGAGTTCTATGTTTGTACAATACAAAGTACATATGTAGGCCTTTTTTAGTGACAAGTTTTTTTGAAAGTAGCTTCTAGAAATCCCAGCTGAATTCAGATCTTTTTGTTAAGGCACTGTGTCTACATAGGAGGGAGATTTTAAGTGTGTTTTTGAAGTATATGCTGTTATAAATGGGAAATGAGTAAATAGTGTGGAAAACAGGGAGTCCTAATTTTATGGCTGAGAGCTGAGCCCTAGAGTCCAAGATTGCATGGGAAACCAGAGTTAAAGGAGGAGGTTAAACCCAAATCTCAGAGTAGACCAGTTGTTTAATTGTGAGATTGTCCTGAGAGAACTCTAGCAGTCAGAGGAAAGTGAATTAAGAGGCTAGAATGTATTGTTCCATATAACTTTGCAGAGCCTGAGTTTTTACCTCTTGGTTTTGCTTGTCTAATCTTTTGGGTAGTTGTAAAGAAGTATGGGACTTAATTCATAGCATCACATGTGATAAAACAGTTTAAGATGGGTTCCATGAGTTTGCAGAAGCAGATATTATGAAGAACATTTCTCTATTTGTAACCAGTCCATAACAAAAAAAAGTAACAATTAAGTTGCACTTGAAATACTGAAATGTGTTTAGTCCCATTTGGTCCCATGTGCTCTTGGTCCCGTTTGATACAGTATGTTATGTAGGCTGAGGATGTGGAAAAAAATGGAAATGTGCTAAGCAGGAGTTGGAAGATAGCCAATTATATTGTCAGCTTACCTTGGTTATGTTTTCAAGTATGCATAACAGTGGCCCTTGATTTTAAAATTTGGATAAAGCTCTATCTGACAACTGGTGCATTCATAGTGAGAGCAAGAACATTACAAAATAACTGGACTGGTCTTGTAACTCGTTCTGTATTATTTTGAAGACTCTTCTAGAATATCTTTGTAGGATACTTCTGTGTTAGTAGTAGTTAAGGCTTTAGAAAAATTTGTTCCTTTTCCACATAAAAACCCCCTATAGTTTTAATAACACTATTTGTGAGTTTTTTAAAAATTAAAACTTGAATATTGACTCCCCCCTCCTTTACATCCTCATGCTATCTACAGCAACTTCAAAGAAGTTGATGCTGAATTAAAATAGTTGAGGTTACCTTAGAGTATTTTACTGCAGAAGCACCCTTCTTGAAACATGTGGATTTCTTGTCTAGCTGGCAGCTGTGGAGAAACTTCTAGTAGATGTGTTGTGGCTAGATAATGCTTTGGGAAGGGGTTGGGTTTTTGTAACTGAAAAATTGCTGTGAGAGCATCCTTCTGAATACAGAGTTTAGATTGCTGTGAATACCCGGTAGCACTAGTAGTAATACTGGCAGTGGTTTTATCTGTATTTGAAATAGAACTTCTGCAAACGTTGAGCCTATATCCCATTACAGCTTTGTTTAATGTCTGTCATCTGTTTGACAGGATGATACCTCTTTGTTCAATTTTAGTGGAGGTACTGAACAGGGAGCTTGATATTCAGAATGCCTGTCCTTACTTTGCTTCCACAGCAACTTGCCGCAATTGCCTTGTGATGTAGTATATCATCCCTCTGATGCAAAACTGGATGAAATTCTGAGGAAGTTTTCATCAGCCTTCTTAAACAAGATCAGCCTTTCTTAACTAAGAAGGAAAGCAGTAGAAAATGGGAAACCTTGTAGGGTGTACTGAGCTATTCTACATTAATGTTATAGCTGATGTATTCCTAATGTATTAACTAGTTGTTCATGATACTGTTTTTAGAAAACTGATAGAAATTAACTGGTTAAAATACTAAATATGTTTGTCTGTTTTAGCTGATAATGGTACTATGCATCTTTGGGACTGGAGAACTGGATACAATTTTCAGAGAGTACATGCAGCTGTACAGCCAGGCTCTTTGGACAGTGAATCAGGAATATTTGCTTGTGTTTTTGACCAGTCAGAAAGCAGATTGCTAACTGCTGAAGCTGATAAAACCATAAAAGTATACAAAGAAGATGATACTGCGGTATGTCCAAGTGTTGTCTTAATGTATTTTCATGAAATCAACAGATTTCAAACAAATGTTACACATATCAGTAAGGGGTGTGCACAGACTTGTGTAATCCATTTTATTAACGTTTGAAAGCAGTGTGTAATAATGTTACAAGGGCAGCAGCTAGTTTCTGCAATCCTAATTTCTTATTATATGCTATAGTACAAATAAGTGTCAGGTCCATCAACTTTTCTGCAAAAGTCCTTTGTAATACACTTTGGAGAAATCTTAATACAATAATGTACATTGTGTTTTGAAGCCAGTAGGGGATTGTGTGTGGTTGTAAACATGGGAATTAGCAAAAAGATTACATTTTAAAGATTTATTGTACTTCTGTATATGATCTAGATTTGTTATTTGCCGTGACAATTTTTAGAATTCAGAGTAAAGAGCTTATTTTCAAACTGTTATTCTCAAATCTGAATCCATTTACTAATGGAGAAGACAATACATTATTGTATAGTTTATTGGAGTATGCATTCAATATAAAGAATATAAGGACCTTTATTAAGCCTTGGAAATTTTGCATTGAATTAGACTTGGAACAACCCTTAAATATAAAGGAATAAGGAATGTTTTAATCCATTTCGCAATTGGGCAAACTGTAGACTCTGTGGTATCTGCCAATACCGATTTAGATATCACTGGAAGGACTGTCACTGGAATTTCTGTTCCTGTGCTTTGATCACTACAGTGTTGTTTCTGAAATGCCGTTGGCAGCCTGAGTTTTGTCCGTGTTGCAAAACCAAAAAACAAAACACCAAACAAAAAAAAACCCCAAACAAGTCTTGTCATGTACTTCAGACAGTGGGATGATATAAAATTTCATCTGGGTAAATTAATTACGTAGTAGATTAGGTAATTATAATGGTACATATGAAATAGAGTATATATACTATGTGAGTAATATTTTAAACTAAACCCTAATTACAGGTGAATTGCAAGTTTAAAATAATCCTTACGAGTTTTTTCTTTTTTCTCTTTAGACTGAAGAAACTCATCCTGTCAGCTGGAAACCAGAAATTATCAAGAGAAAGCGTTTTTAATGTGGCAACATACTTATGCTGTGATTTTGTTTTGGCTTTCCTGAGAGTGTTCAGTCACATTTTGTTCTGCCTAGACCAGCAGAGCAGGAAGTCAGCTCAGTCATTGCTATTTCAACATGTTTTATAATAAATTTTATTTCTCTGTCCTTTTGTCTTTTTTTCGGTGTGATCCCAGCAAACCAGTTGCAGCTGTTAACTTTCTCTTTGTGGAGCACATATAGTTCATGAAAAGGGTGGATGTGCAGGTCATCACTTTTTTTATATGAATCTATTGAGTGTAGGTCTAAAAATATTTTGATGAGCCAGGTTTTCTGGAAGACCCTTGCTTGACTCCAAAAATTAATTGCAAATTTATGCACAGAAGCCACCTACTGGGAATTCCTTGAGTGACACTTTTAGATTTTAGACCAGTATTGTTTACTGTACATGTGCTAAGTATGTACTGTAATGGAACAGTATATATACTCAATTATAGCATAATAGAGTAATCAAGAAAGAAGTGGGACAATATAATAATAATGTAGTTTGTTTTATAAACACAGCCACTGAGCGTTGACAGTGCTGTGTTATTGAATGAAATGGATCTTCAAAGTGTTTCTTTGCCTAGGAAAGTTTTCATATGCAACTACTTATCTTCACTTGTTACATTTCAGAATAGACTTTCTATAGGAAGGACCACTGTCAAGTCTTATTGTTCAGTTGCTACAAGGTTAAGACCAGTTGACTTTCTTTGTAAATCACCTGTTTTTCCCATTTACCCAAATCATATATGACATTAGAGTACAGCGAACTTTTAAAACTGAGCTCTAAGAGGAAAAGCTCTTAAGTCATTCTAGCCTTAATTTTACATGTTGCTGTCTCCCTATGATCTTATGAAGGGATTTAAATAAAAAAAAATTACCGAAAGATAATTCGTACTCATGAAGGGACCTCATTGTGTTTACAAACAGCCACATAACAAGCAGTAAGCATGTAAGCCTCCTTGCTACAGCTTATCTGTGATGTCTGTGCTGCTCTAAAGTACTTTGGGGGGGAGGGGGGACGACGACGACTTAAGTTATCAAGCCATTCAGTAGTTGGCAACTTTGGTACTCGTGTTAATAGCTGCGGTGGCAAGTTTCATGCTGGGTAGATGCTGAGAATTGTTCTGTGGTCACAGCATTGATAGCAAGCAGTTCACAATAATTATTTCTACTCTCTGCCAGTCTGACTTCTTTCAAATCTGGGATTTATGTTAGAGAAAGGAGTTACTTGCAATGTAACTTACAAAAAGCTACTAAAACTAAGTGTTGTTTATATTATGAGAAATTTTGTCTTGTCTTTTATGATGCACAGGAGGTCTTGTATTTGTAATTTGAATGTTTGACAAGGTAATTTTAAGGGAGTCCATGCTGCATAAATAACTGAATTTGGGTTGACAGCTATTGTCTGAAGCATCTTCACAAAAAAGAGAGGGAATTATTTGGTATTTACAAGTTGGATTAAATATCTTTTATTTGGATGATAATTTGAATTTTTCTAGATCTTTATTACAGCTGTTAATTAACATAACAGGGGAAAAATACAGGTTGTGGCTTATGTGTATTTTATACTGCTGCTAATGCTTCATTCCAGAAATCAATGAATTATTGGTGTTATACAGAATTTTCTTGTTCACAGTCAAATCCTCTGTAGGAAACCAGAGTGGAGAGGAATAACTTACTTGAAAGGGGGTGAAGTTGTTATGACTTTTTTTTTTTTGTTTGGGGGGGTTTTTTATTTTTTTTTAAGTGTCTATGTCTTTTGGTAATTTGGAATCAGGAAGGGGAAATTAGAGGGTTTGGCTCACATTTCTAGCACGTCTCTGTACTGGCACTTTCCTTTAAAAACTGCATTTATTCCACTGTTTATCGCTTTGAGGAGAGATCAGAAAGTCTCCTGCAGAACCTGTTTCTTCCCTGGACTTCTGCAGGCATCTGCTAGCATGGGGCAGTGGTTGCCAGAGCATTCTTTGTGCCCTGGGTAAAGATTTTATTTGGAAATTAAAGGCTGTGCACCAATATTTGGAATAGTGCTTCTCCTTTTTGGCTTTATAATACACTGTCCTAGTTCTAAGTGTGATTTTTTTTTTTTTTAAATTGTATTCTTTAACATTTGATTTGCATGTTCATTTTCTTCCCAGCAGTTTTTTCTTTCACTTGACAGTAATGTGAATATTATCACATATACTTCTGTAAGTATTATTTATGACACATCAAGGTTATCAGATTTCAGTTAAGTGCTCCTCTAGTGCAAAATAAGCCTAGATAGTGATAGACATATACCTGATTGTGTAGGATATTCAGTGACATTAGATTTGTCCATGTAAGTCATAAGGTGAAGCAAAAGAGGAGGATCTGGTCCATTGAATGTATTTTCCGTGCTTCTGGAAAGTGTCACACTGCAGTGTCAGTTAAAGTAATCTTGAACGGGAGTCTAATCTCAGAAAATAATTATTGTCATTTATTTCATAAAATTTGATGTTGTCTTCTGTATGTGATCAAATCACACACATTTCTGCCACAAAGCTTGTTTTGTTTTATACTGTACATAATTGCAGAGAAGTAAGAAAATGTTTTTTGTTTGTAACATAATTCAAAAAGGTGTAACTGGTAAAAGTGATAAATTTTAAGATCACTCTTTGCTGTATACTAAAGCATCCCATGTAAGCTATGCAGCTAGCATGCTGTCATTTGCTGGCAGCATGAAAGTTGTGCAGAACAGTTTGTCTTTGGCAACTTAAAGGCTTACAGAAGTAAATCTTTAATAGCCAGTTTCTTTTTAGTCCTGTTAGGTAAGAATTAAAGTGCTATGCCTGATTTGAGTGACAGCAATTTAGCCATCAATAAAACCTTCAATACAACATGATTTCATGTCTTTTTTTCCATTTTGGGTTTTGTAGTAAGAACAAAAAAGTAACTAAATACATTGAAAGTTGAAGTAATTTAGTATTAAAATTCACAGTTTCCCATAGTACAGTAACAACTATTTTTGCAGATCTACTGTATTGGAGAGAAAAAGTACTGATTAGTATATTATGAAGAGCTTCCTATATGCGTGAAGGGATTAGCAAACCAAATGCGGAATTGTTCATGAATTTTCTCTAACGCGTTTAAATAAAACATTGAAACCTCTTGAATTAAATATGAGGTCTAGGAAAGGTTCTGGATGGGAGCTGTGTGGGTGGAAAAAAGCTTAAACTAATTTTTTCATGTCTTACTGGGAGCAAATTAAAGGGATATTTCTGTCCATGGCACATAACTGAAAATTTGGTCACAATTAATCAATGGGAGTTTTATCATTGATTTCTGAAGTCAAGATTTCACTCAGTGGGGTGTGTTGGGTTTTTTTTGTTTGGTTGAGTTTTTTTGTCAAGTGAGTTGGAAAAACTGTCAGTCTGGCACATCATGTATGTAAGTATCTACACAAGGTGCATTTTCCTGTGCACAAGATGCATCATTCTTTTTTAGATAAGGCTTCTAAATTTTCATTAGTACTCCTAAGAAGATGGTGAGGATTTGGAAATTAATGAATGCCAGTAAGCCCGATCAGCTGAAAAAGGTCAACCTGCAATTTTGTTCTATAAAATTTAATGCTAGATTAGCAGGACTTGAAACTAGCATAACTATGACTTTCTATGGAAGCTGTTCCATAAGCAGAATATGCAGTTGGTGAATCACTACGTTCCTTTGAAAGCAAACAAGCCTTCAGCTGAAATGAGCTTGAATGCTGCATGAAGAGAGAGAAGCTTTTTGACTTTGTTTTTGTCTGTAGTTTGAAAACTTGGCAGGCAGGGAACTACAGATTTCACTGGTGGTCATTTAGGTAGAGCTTGTCACTTTGGAAGGCTCCATCTGATGCTTCTTTAATGGCAGCAGCTAAGAATCAGTTTTCTGACTTTTACATCTTGAAGCCTTACAAATTTAGTTCTGTGCTTAGTAGGACAGAAGTTGGCTGAATACTGGAAAAAAATTTGGATGAAAAATGAATGGCCATCCCTGTCTAAAGATATCCTTCCAAGAATTTTGATGCACGGGGGGAATCTGCGTCTCAGGGCTAGCAAAATGTAATTGTTTCTGTGAACGCTTTTTCACATGCATTTTTCCCTATGCTTCCTTATCTTCAAAAAAAAAAAGAAAAAAGTTCATAAGGAGGCATTCAGTATTGTAATTTCATCTAGGATTTGTCAGAAACTTGAAAAATACCAGCCTAAGCATTCACAAATTTTGATGTTGGAAATTAACCTGAGGGGTTTTCCAGCAAAATGACCAACTCTAACCAAGAGAATTTTCCCTTTAATTAGTATGTATTCTACCAATTGCTGTAAAGCAGCACGAAAAACTCTACGGGGTTTGCTTTTTAGATGGGAACTATGGAGTTTCTAGATGTGGACTTGTTTTTTTTCAAAATGTTCTCTTGAAAACCTTTTTAAAGATTTTTGACTTGAGGGATTTGCACGATCAAGCCTTAGGTGTTACTGTTTTCCTATTGCTGCTTGTATTGAAACTGTGTAGTGTTGGCTTTGTCGTGTTTAGTTGTGAACTAAGTTAGTAACATGTTAACTTCCTTCAGGTGCATGTTATCACCAGGCTTTTGTTAACCTTTCTTTAGGGTTTTTGTTTTGAATATAATGAGTACATAAGCCCCAAATGTGTATCTAAAGCATGGATTAATCGGGGCACTTGCCTGCAAATTAGACTTCAACAGTACAAACAGTAACTGAGCTAAATGCTTGTCTTCAGGTAAGGAAGATCGAAATCACTGACAAGAAAACTACAGCTGAAAATAAGAAATCTTAAGTTTGCACAGACTTGGAAAAAGTGAATTGTGCTGGATTTTTTTTTCTTTCTTCAAAAAACCCACACCTTACACTTGTGTTTGAGAAGTGCAGATAATGTGTGTGAAACTTGTTTCTGCCAACATTTTTTGCAACCTTTCTGCTTTATTTTTAGGGAGGGCATGTGTCCTTGCAAGACACTTCACCTTTACTCTTTTTGCTGCAGTAACAACTCTTGGGCTTTTGGATGCTGCAAATGTATTTTTTTTTTCTTTTTTCTTTCTTTTCTTTTTTTTTTTTTTTTTCCCCTGCTGATGCACTGCTGAGAAGAGGGCCGAAGGGTTAAGCCTTCCACAGCAAGGGAAAGTCAGTGCAGCATCAGTATGTGTTATGAATACCAAGGGCTACACCTAGAGGAGAGACTTCCTAGAGACCAGATAAGAAAGAGCTGTAATTAACTGAAATCTCTCGGGGAGAGGTGAAAAGGACAGTAGAAAAACTAAGACTAGAAGAGACCAGAGCTATGACATCTGAAAGGAAATATTTGAAAACAGGCTACGTTTACCTGGCAGGCTGGAGGAGTCGAGGTATTTCTGGATTAGATGAATGCTGCATGGGTATAAAGAAAGGGATGGGAGAAAATAGTGTGCTCATGTGGGTGCAGTCAATGGTGAAAATGAAAACGTGGGCATCCTGATGCAAATTCTTTTGAGAGCAACCTGTAAATGCATTTCTGAGAAGTGCTGGCATTGTATTTATCTGCATGTTCTGGTACCCTCATGCTCTGATGTATAACTCAAGACACTTTAGAAAATTCTTTGGCACATGAAGAATTGCAGAGCAATGCAGAGTGAGGAGTCTGGAGGGTTTTGCTGCTGCAGTGGGATCTTTATGGAGGAAGCACTTGCAAGTACAATTCTGAGCAAGGCTTAAGAGTAAAGCGTGAAGAGTGAAGCCAAAGTTTGCATTGTGAATAGCTTAAAAAGATGGTGAGGCTGATTTTACAGCTGATTGAATGTAAGGCTTACCTTACAACACTGAGTTTGCTTCTTTCTGACAGGCAAATGGTGAGCTGTAGAATGAGACATGAGTTTATAGCCACAGAGTATTATGCTGACAGGATGCATTGCTGTTGGGAGACTATCATGTGATAAATAAGGGTGTAGCTTGTGCAATCAGAAAAACTTTTGTGCCGCATCCAACAGCATTTTTTTTTCACTGGGAAAAGACACCAC